TTAATTAAAATAAAATATATTTTGTTGATAATTTTTTAAATTAAAAAGATAGAAAATAATTTGATTAAATTACTGACGGATTAACGATAAAATTTAACTAAATACATAATTAATTAAAATTCATCGTTAGTATTCATTGGTATATATATGCATGAATTACTTATATCTAATTGATGACTAACTTGATCTCCGTCAGGCGTTCTAACACAGTAACATATTAATAAGTGTGAAAGATCGTGGTTGAATCTTGTCGGTGATATCATTTCACCGACGAATTAGGAACAAATTTTAATTAATTATATATTTAATTAAATTTTATCGTTAATACGTCAGTAATTTAATCAAATTATCTTCTATTTTTTTAATTTAAAAAATCACCAATATAGTATATTTTATTTTTAATTAAAATAAATTTCATTAAAAATCTCTTTTAGATCTTTTTTATTTGAAAAATCACTAACAAAAAATATTTTATTTTTAATTAAAATAAATTTCATCAATAATTTTTTTTTAAATGTAAGTAATTTTTTTTTGTAAATATAAGTATTTTTTTGGTTTATTTATTTCATTTCATAGATGTGAGAACTTTTTGGCTTAAAAAATGTTTATGGACTTAATCATTCAAAATATGAAAGTCTATTGATTTTTTTTTCAGATTTTTTACCACATTAACCAGTTGTATAGGTCATAAGAATGTATCTAACAGATTTTGGAATATCCAAGGAGTTATTTAATAAGTTTTGGAATGTTCAAGGACTTATTTATTCCAAAAAATTGTCCAAGGACTTAATCATTCGAAACATTAAAGTCTATTGGGTTTTTTATGGAATACAATAAAGTGGAATGACATGAGTTTATGGGTTTGGTTATTTTGGTTCACCCCTACACGGAATGCATTAATTATTCAACTTTGCATTTCATTATACTTGGTGAGCTTTATCAATTGATAAAGTTCAGCAAACGAGTTGTCAAAATCCAGCTTTAAGATCAAATTTAGAGAGTACTCTTGCATCTGCCAGAGATTGGAACAACGACTTCTTTTAGGAAAAAAGGAACTTATCATGTACATTAATAAATTACCCTTCATCGTAATTTTGTTACATAATTTTAAAAAAAACAAAATTGGTCATCACACAACATACGATGCCAAACACTAGTTTAAATTTAAAGTTATAACCATCCTTTAAAACCCCTAATTTCCATTTTTTTGGGGTTCAGGTCTCTCTCTCTCTATATATATATATAATAATAAAATTGGCTTATATTATTGATGCATAGAAAGTCCATGGGAAGCAAAATATGGAAAGGAATTGCAAGTGACTTTATGAAATTAATACTGGGCCTCTGCCAACTGCCATTGCATGAGTGATGGTTCATTACTTTCATATTCAACACACACATTGATTGTGGTTCATGTTGAAACTTATGTATATGTCCTTGTTATGCATTTACTACCCCAGAAAGAGACACTACATACAAATATCTAACTAAACCATAAATAAATAAATAAATAAATAAATAAATAAATAAACAAATAAAGAATCGAACTCGTGCATCAAACGGTAAATCGTTCATTCAAATCGCTATTTCAATCACTTGGATCATCCACTAATAAGAAACCAAGAACAAAACTGGAGGATCAGAAACACATGGAAGAACAGTTGTTACTGTTATTAGTATGAAGTAAGGAGAAAAAGAACATGAAAACAAGATGCTACATTGAAAAGGAAAATGTTATGAACAAATTGTTTAACCTTGAACATGGTTTTAAAGAAAATCATTATCCAAAATGTTACTTCTTCTAGAAACACAAATCCGTTATATCTCTCAATTCTATTACATAATACACGTTACCTGATAATACAACTCTTGCTTCCGGGAAGCCCATCTGCATAATACATAATCCCCACGATCATGGAATCTAAAACCCGCCACTAGAATATGTTCATCTGACTTCTTGGAAACATACCAACACAAACCTCCGGTCAGCTGAAAATTTGGCACCTCTGAGTGCTTGAGAGAGGTTTTTTTGAGTCAACAGCTGTAATGATTTTGGCTCAAGTTATCTGAGAAACATATATACCTAAATGTAAGAGAAGAACGAAAAAGTATCAAGAGCATTTGAGCTCGAGAAAGATGGTATCACTGACCTAGAATGAAATTCATGGTGCAAACCCGAGCTGAAGCTGTAAATCTTTAAAAAGATTTTGAAACCATGAAGGAATGTGGATCTCTCATATTTTTGGGTCTAGTGGGTGTCTATGTCTTTATCTAGGTGAAGTGAAAGAGAAATCTCAACTTGTACACGAAAGTTCTTTTTTTTTCCTTTTCTGTTGATGGGTCATTGCAAAAGGGTGGCCCTATCAGGGTTCATAAGTAGGAGATGTTGCATATCTTTTGGAAGGACATTGAAGACCGAGAGCAAATCTCCTTTGAGTTTATGGCAGGTTGCTTCAGACTGATCAAGCAAGTTTTCAGACTGCTGCAGCAAAATAACATGTTATAATGAAAGTTAGTAACAAGTGTATAGAATTATACACGTAATTATGATGCTATAAATAGAAGGATGTTGGGTAGAACTGTAAATTAGTTTGGAGTAGGTCAAATATGAAACTATTTGCTACAACATTGTTTCATAGCATCCTAAATTCACTCCAGTCTCCCATTCTTTGCTAAACAGCAGTTTTTAGACTATCTTTCACCAAGAAATCATGATTGTTGCCTCCTTCCATCTGATTTCGTTGCACACATCATACTTGACTTCGACCATTGTAACAATCCATTAACTTTAACCGATTTTGTAGTGGGTTGCCTCTGAGCTCATTCCTATATACAATATTCCACTTCACTATCCTCTGATAACACATGATCTCTCACAGACCCTGACCGGATCAGGGTTAGTTTGACTAGCTCCGGAAATTTTGAGTTTAGAGCTTCATCCTCTACCCTAATATATGACCAAGATTGGATAGTTCATTCATCTGCCGCTCCCTAGATCCATTGCCGTTGTTCTATTACCTCTTTTCATAATTTCTTCTTTATTTCAGCAGCAAGGTACTAATTTTTTTATTCTCTCCTTTTTGCCAACAGTTTGAAATCTTCCTCCAGCCATACATATCTAACATGATACTTCTCCAGCAAGAATGAGATTCATGTTAACCCTCAATAACCACTTTCATAAAAACAAGGTTTGCTGCCCCAAAGCAGGGCCATAGGCCCCCTTTTTCTTTTGGTCTGCACACTTCTATCCAGCTTACCTTCAATATCCTTTTCCTCTCCATCCTCATTTCAGCTAAGTTCCTTCGATATGATTCTAACCCTTCTAAAATCTGGATTACAGCTTTAAGGAATTGCTATATATTGAAGGAGCATGCCCCTAGTACAGCTTTAATCATATGATTATTCTCCTCCGCAACTGCATTGTCTTTCCCTTTCGTCCTACTAGTGTCTTCTGTTACTTTCTTCATCACTTCCTTCCATGCACTGCCATCTTCTAGGGGTAGTCCCTAGTGGGATTCCAAGAGGATACTCCCCAATCTTGCACTCCGATACATCACCTAATGTTTTGCCTCTATCCTCTTCTATCGGAGTTATGTATATGTTGCTTTTTTAAACTTCTTTCACACCAGAAACTTGTTCAAAAGTTCATAGAACCACCATTATACCCTTCACTTCCTCCAAGTCCTCGCTGCTAAAAGCTAGTATATTATCAGGAAATTGGGTGTGGGTGCTCCGGTCACTGGCATTCCTACATGTACTCCCTTTGTGCTCCTCTATTTTGCTTTTTTGGAAACTGTTGGAACATGGATTCAGCTGCAAACAGAAACAAAAGAGAATATCAGGTCCCCCTGTCTAACTCATCCCCTCATTGATTTCTTCACTAGCACATACTTTCACACTTGTAACAGAAACCCCTATCAAGCAATGAACTTTGCATCAAACTTCATCTCATTCCTCACCTTCCGATGAAGTGGCATGCCAGCATGCCAACATCTAATTTCAGTAAGAGTCCAACACATTTTCTCTTTTTAAGCCATCCAACATCACGTTTACTAGGACACTAGGACAACAATCCAGAAGCTGTCCCCTCCCACAGATGTTTGTTTGATTTTCTGATATTGCAGCATCCACCGCAAATTTGAGCCTACTTGCTAAGCATATTTATATGTTATTGTAGATGGGTTTATGAGGGATATCAGTCTTCAATCCCTCGTAGATTTTGGAGAAGCTTTTGTTTTGTAGTGAAGTAATGACAGGTTATACCTGCAGTGAATTTCCGTTATCATTAACTTTCATCACATTTTCTTCTGCCCCCTCTACAATTTTTCAAGAAGTAATAATTGAGCTTTGAACCTTTCATTCATCTTGATGACCATTAAAACTTCCTCATAGAAACTATCATATACTCCTTCCTCATTTCATCAAATTTTCTTGATAGACAGCAAAGCTGGAGAAAGGCTAGAAGGAGTTCCCAACTTGACAAGTGTTCTATGGCATCCTATCACAAACTTCTTCAATCATTAATTTCCCTGGCCCTCAGTTTGGCAGAAATATGGAAAAACTCTGTTTTTATCACCCTCATTCAGCCAAAGCATTCTCCAACTTTCCAGCTCATTATTTTTCTTGACACGCCTTTTATAAGAATCCTTCCAGGAATTCCGCAGCTGTCTAGGTCCCTTCCATTCATCCCCATGTCAAGTTTATCTAGTTCTTCTAGATTTTTCATAAATCCCTCATCCAAGCTCTATTCCGTAGTTTCATAGCTTTCTTTACTTTAATATTGATAGATACTATATGAGTAGCCCGACCATCAACCATTGTCTCCTTCCACTCTTTTGAAGACACTTTTATACAATATAACCACTTCAACCATTGATCAGCTACACCAAAAGGCTTGCTCCCCAACCTTAAACTAGCAAAAGGATGTTGTCAAAAGGCTTTCTCTCTAGAGTTTGTACTCCCGTTACAGCCATTTTACAACCCATTCAGCATTAACAAGTACCAAGTAAACCTTGTTCTCTCATCAGTCTTCTGAAGGTCTACATGAAGATGCACAAACCATCAGAAACGTTTCTCAGCTTCTCCCAGGCTTATGTTGTATATCGTCAGTTCTAATCCTATCTCTGTGTAAGACCACATACCATCTCATAGTTTGCATTTCTGCTAACCACACTTTGTGCATGCCTTTTGATTACCCCACATTCTGTCAGATGGAACTTACCTTTCAGCATCAAGTAGACATGTCAATCACATGAGATAAGAGTCCCAACAACTAGTCATCGTTACCCTGCTCTTATACAGTTATACTATGACTAACATCTTCATCAATCTCTCCATCCTTCTATGAAATTAATCAATCTTTTTGGTATGTTTACTGCATCTTCCACTTCCCATCAACACCGCTATAGTCGCAGTTTACGTACTCTACTTCGTTTAATTTAAATCTAGAACCTTCAAATTTGAAGGCGCTCCTTCAAACCCCCAACTTCCCATTGTCTAGTTTCATCAATCAACAATTTTAATATTAATCATCAGCTGCCTGAAAGCACACACCATGGTATATCATTACATGTCTTTTGTGACATCATCCATAAGTAAAGCAAGAAGATAAAGACTCGAACTTAACCCTACAGTAGAAGGGAAAGCACATGTCTCCTCACTGCATGTTGTCACACTTACCTTTAGTTGCCTTAACATACATTATAGGGATTTTCTTCTTCTTAAGTATGGATCATATGACCTCTCTTGACATCCTATCATACATCTCTTATAGATTAATAAACACCATAAGCGATTTCCCAAAAGTTAAGACCATTGTTTCTATGGAGTATAGACAAACCACTTAGCAATATAGCCATGTTTCACCAATATTCAAGATCAGCGGAATGGAAGTAAATTATAATTATGGTAGAATATCAGTTGTGCCAATATATAAAACTCAATTATATTCTCAACATTGGAATAACGATTTTGACTAAATGTGGATACAGCCATGTTTCACCAATATTCGAGATCAGCAGAATGGATGAAAATCATAATTATAGATATATATCAGTTGTGCCATTATATACAACTCAAGTATATTCTCTACATTAGATTATCTATGTTGACGAAATGTGGAGGGACAAGAAATAAATGTAATAATTTCATCATTAGTTGCATCTGCAATTATCTTCTCCAACAGATGGCCACAGGTCCAAGTAGCGGCAGGCATTGACCCCAACTGATTTTAGCCAAGTATAACAATAGCATAACCTGGTCTAACAACAATGTGATGTCCAACTGAAAACTTATCAAACGTGAACAACTTTATCGATACCTTGGATATTCAATGCAAGCAACACATGTGACTGTATAATGAGCAGCATAAGTCGGGAAACACTGAAAATGCCTCATCTTTCCCTTCCTGTTAAGCTACTCTAGGTAGGGTCATTGTGCTCGTGAGAATCATTTTTGTTTTATATACATGATGACAATATGAGGTGTTGGTCACTTTAAATACTACTGTGTCAAGGAAGACTAACCAGGTGTTTTTTTAAGCTACAAAAATGGAGAAAATGGAGAAAAATGAGAATACATAAAATGCAGGCATTAGGAAGGTGTGAATAAGTACTTGGTCCACTATATAGCTCTAATAACATATCTAGGTTGGATTTTTATCTCCTTCCAGCTACTAGAAGAGTCTGAATAAGGCATCATAACAAGTCTTGTTTCCGCCAAATTATACAAGTCTTTAGTGCCGATGAACAGCAGTTCGAGATAACTGAAGTTAAAAGTGGGAGAGGTGAAGAAGTTCCTATAATAACTCACAAAATACAAAATCTTGTGGCGTGCTACCATCATTATTGCTTTGAGATTTAAAACATCTCTCCTAAAAAATATTTAATCTTATCATAATCCCGAGACGGTAAATAGAGGGCTGAAGAACCACATTGAGTTCCATGCCATTTTGCTGTTGCACAGAGCCACATAATGGTTCATCACTGTGCATCCACCATGTGAGGAGCAAAAAGCATTTTTAAGCAGAATGACCCCTGATCTTGAGAAATCATAGCAAATTAAGTTGGCAGCTCAAGTATATAAAGAGCATTTGAAACAACTTTAACATAGATTCATCATTATCTGTAAGCTATATGTCATAGAGTACAACAAGACAACCAAATTTGTAGTTTTGGCATATCTATTGCTTAACACCGGGAACAATTATTCAGCAGACTATAAGATTTAACATCCCTACCAATATCAAAGTTCTCAAAACAGAAGAGTACCTTTAGTCTCAACTGTTAAAAGCATTGACAAAGGGTATCCACAAAAATAAAAAGAAGAAAGAGAATATAGGTTGCCATGAGATTTTGTTTCTTGTATCTATTCATTAGTTCACATTAATTTTCATCCATTAATATTTGAGTGATGAGTAATTTCAATTCCACAACCCTTAGTCCTACAAGAATTGGTTCATCCCCTTGTAAGTTATTATGGTTGCTCATTGTTAGCCTACCTCAGTTAACCTGGTCTAAAAGCTTATCAATGGCTTTATGAAGTTTGTTGCAATCTTCTGTACTACAACACCCTTCTGAATAGCACGCTAGCAGGTTACCAATGGTGTTTTGAATCTCTGCCCACTAGCCTACGTAGTTGTTCAATAAAAGATTCACAGTCTATTCTAGTAACTGAACTTTATTGTCTGTGCCATACTAATTATTATTTATAATTCCAAAAACATTGTAGCAACCAGCTCTAGAATGGCAAGGTCACTCCTTTGTAGCCGGAAGGTCATGGCACAAAAACAGACTCTGGAAAATGCATGGAAATGACCACGAGAAAAGACTTCCCTCCCCAACTCTAGCAAAGCTAAGGAGCATTCGTGCACAGGAACAACCCATTTTTTTCAGGAGTATGCACAGCTCTGAACAGAGATATAGACTAGATATAAATATTGAATTCTCTGAAGTTTTATCTGGCTCCCAGTTAGGAGCATGTTGGTCTCAGAACCTCGTGAATTTCCTGTGAATAAGGGTAAGTACTATGCACTGCCCACCTCAACACCAGTCTTGAGACACCCGACAAGAAATATTCTACTCTTAAACTTCATTGACACTCTAAAACCTCACCCAAAAAAATGCAACTCCTTGGCACATAGTTCAATAACTTCTTTTGACTAATAATCAAATACCTAAAATACACCCTAATGAGACAAAATTTAGAAAACTTGGGGATCATAATCAATCTCACCAACATCCCGTAATGGTTACTAATGGACAAAGAGGTAGATTTGGATTGACATCTTCTGCAAAAAGGTAATGTTACACTTGAGAATATCTAAAATACAATGAGTTGGATCTTTTGGGGGACCAAGGGGGTATAGCTTTCATACCAAATTGTTAGCGCATTCCCAGAGTCAAAAAAACCATACCATCCTAAAAATAAATAAAGCCCAATAACAAAGACACTTGCCTGCATTTCAGCTAGAAGATGCCTTTCAATTGCATTGAATGTTTCGACAATTTCCAACTCAGACGACTTGTTAATAAATTCTTGTATGTCAGCGTTCATTCTTGCTTGCCTCCACAATCTACATTGTTCTTGCTCAGCCACAGCTCGTTTTCTTTGAAACCATGGCTTAAAGTTGTGCCCTTTCATGAACCGCCTAAATAGGCATGAAACTTCTTAATGTCAATATGGAAGTTCTCTAACAATGACTAAAGGTAGTAAAAAATTAATGATTGAGAAAAGCACATCATAAGAAATGTACATGTTGCAGGAGATAAAGAAACAGGCATGCGGTATTGCTAGTTACTATTTAACATACTTGTCAGGGTCACACCTATATGACTATATCCATTTTTATAAAGGCTGTACCATTTTCTTGAAGAGTAGATCCAAGGTAAAAGCCCTTGTGAGGCATACTTCTTTTAAAATAAAGGCCTATCACGGCATTCAACAATGCATGTTACTAATTTAGCAGTTCTTTTAATGCTTGCTACGAACTTGTTTTTGTTTCTCAAATGGTCCATACAGGCATTCATGTCTTACATTATATAATGCATTTATACATTTTCCTAAGTAACTAGGAAATACCCATAAACACAAAAGTCACGCTGAAATTTAGTGGTAGAAACATAAACTCTTGCAAGTTCTCTTCTTGCACTTCTAGTTGACATGGTTCCTTTCATGTCTTCTACTCAACTTGTCAAAGAAAAGAGATGGACAATGGATCTCTAATCAGTATTACTAATCAATTTTATGACTACTTTGTGTGTTGGAGATATTGATGACGATGTTGCACACAAGGATATATTTTGTGTTTGGATTGCTAAATGTCAAATGACATCCATTTGAACAAATTCTATGATCATGTTACATACGTGTGCAAAGGTGCCAGACAACTTCAGGCTCTTTTAACCGGTTCCCAGAACTCAAAAAATTTGATGGAGTATTAGAGTATCAAGTATGCTATACAGTAAAACTAGCAGATAAAAGACATGCTATATGAAAAATGAAAAAAAAATATTACCTGTAGAGATCTAGCCAGTTAGATCTCATCCTCTTCGATAAAAACTTCCCAGGACCTCTAGCCGATAAGCTTCCAAGGAATTCATCAGCATCAAACACAGGTAGAGGAGGAGGATCAACAAATGGAGATGATCCTACACAAGGTGTATTAACTCTAAAATATGGGCCAAAGGGGGCTAAGAAGTTGGTAGTAAGCTCCAAGAAATGCCGGCGCAGTATCTCATTGTTAACAACTGACATCGACTCCTCAACCCTTGGTGACAGTCCTGCGTCAACAAGTCTATTCAGAATAGACGTATCCGGTTTAGTAATTGGCATGTAACTGCTCCAAATGGCTTCCTTGTGTTCTGTCATAAGACAAAGGGGACCATCTCTCCTTGATTTCACGGCACTTAACAAATTCGAAGGAGAAAACTTCTTTAAGTTTAGTTGTGGAAAACTAAAGCCATCATGTCTGCCTGAAAGTCTGCCAGTTGAGGCCCGAGAAGCAAAGGCAAGTCGGCTTGAGTTAGGAGCTGGGCTTCCAACAGAGATTATGTGGGGAATGTTGCGAAGAGCTTTTAGAAAAAACAGATTTGTCACACCCAAAAGCATGGGAGGGAAAGTATCTCCTTCTCGTAGTGAGTTCAAATGGGCAAAGTGAGGGTCATGTATGGTGAAATAAGGCCTGAAGTCAACACTAACAAAAAGTGGAGCAGCCAAACTAACTAGACTAGCAACAGCTTCACAACACTGAGGAGGTGTTGGTGTTATAATCAGTATAGGCTCCCCAACAAGTAACAATTCCCATAACAACCAAAGCTGCAATAAAAGCCCTCGGAAAATTCCAAAAACATCTGAATCATGAAAAAGACCATGTGGGATCGACTGATTAGTAGGAAGAAGTGGGGCCATGGAGGAGGCAGACTCTTCAAACAGCACCTCACCATCAAAAGATAAGCTATGAGCAGGTGGCAGGTTCACCTTAAGTGTAGCATTCCCTATTGGAAGCTCCATAAGATGACCAGGTAAAGGAGCATCCCATGTTGACATAGAAGCAGCAATGCAGTCAAGAGCTTTCCTTCCAATGTCAAAATACAAAGGACCCATGATCTGTAAGAGAGGTTTAAACAAACTAGAGTATGGATAATTTGACAAAATCACCACTGATTTCTGTTCGCCCCCTCGCTTCAGCCTCTCATCATGCCTCTGTCTATTAAATACAAAACCGTACAAGTATTTAGGGTCACACCCTTTTTCACTATAATCCAACCTTTTTGGTACCTTTTCAGCTGAGGGAACTTCTTTGCCATCCACTTCAACCATCTCAGATGTAGAAATGTTCTTTGCTGGAAAACTCCCTCGCCTTTGTATTCGGAAGAAGAACATGGAGTCATGGATGCTTGATCGGTTATGATGTTGGGAAACTGAATCAGGGAATGAACTGAAAGCAATGTCAAGTTCCTCTTCGGGGGTAAGACAACCAGGGGGATAACACTCTTCTATAAGCTGACCCTGTTCAAGATCAAACCTAATTATGCAAAATGCAACAATCCACTGTTGCACAGTTTCCGGGTCAACATTTGTATGGGATTCTGTCCTCGCCAAAAATGAAGGAGACCTACTCATTGCCAGCTAACAAGATACAGCTACTCTTTCAATATAGCAATTTGATATCCATCAGGACCATCATCTACCTCCAAATAGGCACTAGGACAGAGAAGTAACTGGGTGTTCGTATGCACCAGAAGCTAAATAACCAGTAGTAGCTTTAGCAGAAATATCTTCAGAAAGGCTGCATCAATTGCTAAATCTACTTAACATTATAGGAACCATAAATGTAAGCATCAATTTAGAAATTATTGACAACTGAGATATACTCAAGTAATACAAGAATTAAAACTATTAGAAACTTGAACACTAAAATATACTATTCTCATCAGCACCTTTCTTAGTACCAATCAGATGGTCCAGACAACACAAACCCCATTCAGGTTTTTGGAGTTGGACCTTTTTTTTATCTAAACAATTATAACAAACACCCATTCAAAATTTGAAGGGCTAAGGGCTTTGGTTTGGAAGTCTTGCAATGAAGATATACAAATTAAATGTGGTGTATGAGAAATTGAATTCAGAACAAATGACCACAGCAAACTTTACAAACTTCCTAGATAAACTAAAGAATACCTCTACACCGACATAAAAATAAAACTTGAAACAGAAACAACCAATATATGATTCAGAGCGTAACACGAAATAAACACAATGTTCAAACTTAGACTGCCCTATTCATCAGGTGCTATAAGGGTAACACTATACACATGCAGAATGCTCGAAATTAGACCTAAATGAGGAACCAATTGATCCGAGAATTCGAACCCAATTCAATTAAGAGGAATTAGCAAACGATATCAACAGATCAGATGGATAATCTAGTAAAAGACCGAAAAAGGGTTTTAATTATACCTGAAGCTGTTCCACCCAAATGGGGATGAATCCAAATCGGGCGAAAAAACGATGCAATTTAAAGAGAGAAGTGGGTGCAAAGTAGGAGATCCTAGAAGAGAAAATGGAAAAGGGTTTTGAGGTGATTGTGTGGGTACATGTATATACATACACTTACTAATGTTGTTCAACGTATTGATCTGATGTGAAAATTTTGACTGATTTTGAATGCAGAAGAAATGAAATTTGGAACAAGATTTAGGGTGAGGAGGGGGTTGCTGTTCTGCTTCAATTAGCCAGTATTTTATTGTCAAAATCAGGCAAGAAAAGCTCTCCCCTTTTTGGTTTTCCCTTTTATGTTTCATATATCTATACTATATTATAAATGATTTGACAAAAAAAACTATTTTTTATTAGGAATGGCAAAAAAAACCCGAAACCGACGGTGAAAACCGAAAACCAAACAATTCGGGTCGGGTTCGGGGACCTCCTAACGGGTATGGGACAGGGATCGGGGATTATATCAGAGACGGGAACGGGGACGGCACTCACCGACCCGGACCGGCCCGATAGTATATATAATATATTTAAAATGTATAAATTACTATTTGGTAAATGATAGTCCAATTGTCCAAAGTCCAAACCAAAAGTCCAAAACATATTCCTTAGGCCTAAAAGGCTAAAAGCCCAGCTTATACCCCAACATCAATACAACATCAACCCAACCCTTGACTAAACCTTCTAATCGACATCGCCAGTCGCCTGCGTCCAGCCACTCCAGCGTCCTCCTCCTAATCGACATCGCCTGCGTCCTCCTTCTTGACTCTCCCGACTGACGGACTGAGCCAACTCCCGCACCGCCGCACGACACCAGTCACGACAGCCGCACCACTCACTGCCCTACTCTCGTCGGCCGCCGCTCGCACTCGCCGTTGCTGTATCTCCGGCGCTGTAACGCCGCCGCTCGCACTCGCCGCTGCTCTTAACGGGTTACCAACGGGGATCGGGGAAACCGCGGGGACCCGATGGGAATCCCCGATAAGATCCCCGACGGGGATCGGGACGGTTACGGGAATGGTTATGGTTATCGGTTTCGGGGACGGGGACTCTAGAAACCGGCCCGAACCCGGCCCGTTGCCATTCCTATTTTTTATGCACAAAGTATTGTTTATTAATGCATATTACTTAAAATTTAAGATTACAAGTAAATTGTACATAAGTTAAACTTATTAGAGCTTCATATTTGAATTCGTGTAACTAACGGCAGATTAAACATAATCAAATATATTGGATAAACATCTCATTTTAAATATAAAAAATCTAAAATATAATTAGGATAATTATTGAGTTCTAACAAAATATTTAGTTATTATCTTTAAAAAATTTATATTATTAAACCTAAATTAAATTTCTCTGTTACTAAACCTAAATTAAATTATAATTAAAAAAACTGAATTAAGAAAATTGCACCGAAACATAAGAACTTTTAAAAAGATTAATTTGATACTGATATCGATATATTTTTTATCAAAATTTTATGATATTTTCAAATTTATATTTTATTCAAAAATAAAAACATTATCATTTTCTCAAAACCACATAAACCGCATTATATCGACATAAAAAAAAAGAATAAAACGAAACACTGAAATCAAGATGTGTCTCGATGCATTGCACGAGCACCCTTCTAGTATATATTTTATAAGATATCTGACCAATCCAACCACACTTACTTTTGTACATTTATTAAAAATTGTTTACCTCTTAACAGTTTCATTAAAAGATAATATCTGAATCGTTAAAGAATAAATCTTGTATGGTAAAAAAAAGTATGTCTCTTAATAGTTCTAAAACTCTTTGAATGATTTTGGATCATAGGTCTCCCTTAACCATTAAGCGTCATAATTTTATTATAAACAATTACCAAACAATTATATTTCATTTTGCACTATATCATGAGAGCCTCTTAATCATTTTGACCACTTAATCATTCTGCATTAAATCTTAACAGAGCATGGCCCATGAGGGTATTTTCATCATTTCAATCGTTTTTTATTTTAAAAAAGTTAGTGTACAAGTATTTAAAGCATATATACAAACCATTAAAGAAAATCTCAACTAAACCAACCCCTCGGGCAACAACACCGCATGCCCGTCTTCTCTGACGTTTCCTCAATACCCACCTTGATTTTCACATATGTTATATGTTACTGAAGATCATTGTCATGCATATTTTCTCTCTTTTTCTACGAACTGCAATACTCCCTTATACTCCAGTTGACGCCCAACGTTCAACTATCTCAGCCACCATCCATAGTTGTGCAACTAAAACATCCCTATCACAACTGGTCACATAAAAATAACATAAAATTTCAATACCAAACTTGGAGTGTACGTGTCGGATGAACCAAATCCTCATTGAATTTTATTTTTCCATTAGAAGGGGCTCGCACATGTTCTGCAGTACCTCCTGTGAATACTCCGCCGGTATGAAAAGTTCCAMTTGAACAAAAACCCTCATATTCATATGTACACATGACGGAACATATATTTCCTATAATTTTACCTAAACCCCAAAAGGGAACAAGATCAATATGCACATTGTTGCTAAGGCTATGCAAGAAAGCTTTATATTCCTCATCGAGATGCACCCCATCATTAAGAACTAGAAAATTGTACGTTTATGACCAAAAACCTAGAAATAGCAGAACGGCCAACCCTTCTAAGGACATCTCTAAAAAGTAACACCAATTCAATAAAAATGGTGTAAAAATTTATGCAAACATTAAATCTTTTCCAATAGGGTAACATTATTTTTTACACCAATATAAGATTTAGGTATATTCTTTTTTATCTTAAATTTATTAATTTTTATTAA